GTACCGAAATTACCAATTTTTTCATTGTCACTCGAAAACATCATAATTGTGTTTTTTTTTTTTTTAATTACTGTGGGAAGTTTGCAAATAAAATGTTCATATTAGAGACATTGGACGTTGGCATCAAATACATACATATCTTTGAAATTTCAAGAGTTTACCTCGAAATTAAAAAAAACTTGTAGCACGCAGGATATCTGTCGCAGCTACTTTGTAATTTTTGAAATTTAACGATTTTTAATTTTATTAGTTTTAGATACTTCAAAATGTTAAAACTAAGCGGTGAAAATGTTCTTCTTGCTTAAACAAACCAAATGAAAAAAAATGCATTGAGTAAAAGGGGACTATGATTTGAGAAACTAAAATTCCATTTTTACAATTTTTATTGGCAAACTCGAAATTCATACTAAAATTGTTATATACATAATGAAGGTAATATATATGTGCATAAGGAATACTGTGTAAAAATATCCCACGCCAATATTTAATCACTTTTAAATAATGTGACTTTTAAGTTATAACGTGCGAGTAAATGTGTTAGTTGACTTGTTATGGTGATACGGAGCGTATACGTTACATACACCACTACGGGTGTAACTTATGAGATTTGCTCATATGTATGTATATGCGAAAGAGTTTCGCCTGGGACCCTGAATTTGATGCTTTTCGATTAAATGGAACTGGAAAAATACTTTCATTACATAATATATATACTATATATACTATATACGACACTCACATATTGACAAGATTTACCTATTTTTTTTTTAACTTTAAATTATTTCGTTATAAAAGTGTAGTTTATTACTAAAAAAACTTATAAATCCAAGTTGAAATATTTTTGCCATATTTAAAAAAATCTATAAACGTTCGAGAAAATTACGAGCTTTTCAATTAGACTTTTTAGAAAGATTTTGAGTATGTAGTTTTGTGCTCATTCAATTTTAATATAACAGGGTGTAAGTTTGTATTAGCTGAAACTTTCCGTAGCTTTTTGGCATTTTTTGTTGTCGATGTCAGTTATTTTCTTCTTACGAAGTATGTTCGATGATTTTTTTTTATGGAGCAACACTGTTAACAAAATAAAAATTGCCAAACGTCAACAGCAAGTCCCAGTTACAAAAAAAAATGAATAAACATGTTTTGATTCTTATTTTTTTATTTCTTGAAGACTGAATTTTGGATTTAGATATTTTTTTTAAAGAATAAACTATATTTTTATAAAAAAAAGGTTAAATAAAAAAATTATAAAATAAATAGCCAAAATCTTATCTATCAATAGTTGAGTGTCGTAAAGTTATAATAAGCTTAATATATGTTTGTATGTGGTAATAAAAATATTGCATAAATCTGAATTTAAAATTTAATTTATTAGGTTTGCTTCTAACCACAAAGCTAATTGGACAAAATTTAATTTTTAGCGTCAAATAAAAGTCAATCGCTATCTTATAATCAAATGCAAGCTATTTTGAAAACTTCAAGATAGATTTCCAAGGAAGGTAATTCTCCATCTCACAGCAACAAAATTAAGTTTAATATCTTCTTTTTTTTAATTATGTATCGAAATGAAATTTTTTGTTTCAATAAAACTTTGCTCACGTTAGTTTCAGTAAATTGCATTTGTAAATATTACACGCTTCAACAAAATTTGGTCGTGTCCGACCTCATCTTATAGATTCCTTGATGCTGATTTGAAGTGCATTTACAAAATTTTTCTAGCACGTTCTGCTTTTTAGCATGTTTGCTTACTATTGCTGCATCTTGACAAGTGATGTAATTGAGATCAAAAACAATAAATTTTTTCAGGATTTCTTTCCAGAACGCGGAAAGTTCTGAGAGACAAAAGACTGGCAAATGATGAATCCTGGATATTGAATTTTTTATGTGGTTTTGTTCTTGAAATCATTTTGTTTTTAATATAATTTCATAGATTGAGATTTTCGTATCTGTGGGAAAACAATTACATGCTATTGAAGAACTTAGTTTGTTTTTTTAATTTTTCACTCTTTTCAAATTAACTCATCCACATGTTTTATTTATTTATTTATTTATTTAAAATTTTTGTACAACTAAGACAATTCAGTCTTTTATATGTACATCAACAAAGAATTATAATCTATACTAACATAATTTGCCAAGAAAAGATACAAACTAAAATATATGAGTTCCTAATGTAAACTTAATACTAATACAGCAAATGTAAATGATTAAAGAGGAAAACGGAGATGTATAATGCAAGAGAATAAGAAGAAGAAGAAAGAAAAAGGAAAAAAGGTACACACCAAGATTATTTGTAGTCAGAGGACATATAAAGGCCACTAAAGTATTGAATTATTAAGTTTTTGAAGTTGCTTCTATTCAGTCTAGCTTTAACACTTTCTGGAATCGAGTTCCACAGTCTTACAGCGCTAATGTCATCATCTCTTTCATGCCTCGGTACCCAGCTCAGTGGCACTCTGTTCTTGGCTCCAGGGTGCTAAAGCAATCATACACCAACTTTAATGTTATTATGTGAGACCTCAGTGTCAGTAAGGCGGTCCGGTCTGACAGTCTGACATAATACNGTTCTTGGCTCCAGGGTGCTAAAGCAATCATACACCAACTTTAATGTTATTATGTGAGACCTCAGTGTCAGTAAGGCGGTCCGGTCTGACAGTCTGACATAATACAGATATATTTCGAAGACGTGCCTCTTACAATGCACTCACTTTGAAACACTTCTTTTGCATTAATCGCAGCTTGAAAAATGCTGTCGGAGCATCGATTGTTATACATTTTTTGAAGTTTTTCATTTTTAAGTTTTGATTCATCTGTGTACCCCACCTTCAAATTCGTTGTCAAATATGGGTTCTCTGTGTTCCGGAGAGCTCGATTTGCAACGAATACCTCAAAGTACCGTCTATAGCAGAATTTAAAAGGAAAATATGCCAACAGGTCTTCAATATTGTGGTATTACCTAAGCTAGTAGCAGTTCGAATTTTGGCTATTCGGGTACTGCCTTTTTGGCTAGAAAAGTCTAAAAATGTGTCGCGCTCTTAGAAAAAAAAAAACTATTCGGCAAAAATTGTTTCCATCATGAGCTTTATTTTAATCTTAAAAAAAAAACTTTTAGTTTGATTCTATATGCACAAGTAGAACACGCTGTTTATAAAGCAAATATTTTTTTCAAATAAAAATTTGTATGTAAGGAAAAAACTACAAATTATTGTACTGGGGCAAAAATGATAAATATTTGTTTACATAAAAAAAGCTACTTACATATAACTGTAACAATTACGGGTATTAAGGTGACCAGCTTACAAAGTTGCTTGCCAATTACTAAACACCTACTGCTAGACAACAATTGAGAAATATTAATTTAAGCAAAAACTTTACAGCCAAAACCGCACAAACCTTTGATATGTAGTAAAACTTCTCGAAAAATGTATGCACATTGTACTTACATATAACTGACATAGCCATTGCAATCAAAAGTCATTGAAACACAAACCTCATGCCTACATAAATACTACTCAGCAAAAGATCGCTCATAAATGTGTACATGTTGTTTTACATACATAACAGACTAAAAGGTATCTATAAGCTGTTGCACCGCGCTTTGAAAAATAATTATCTACATATGCAGAAATAGCAGAAGTCATACAAAAAAAAAAACGGAACATATTAACAGAGGCATATTTAACATGGTTCTTATTTTATATGACATTACACAAAATTTGGTGTGGGCATGCACTCAGTGTTCCTGAACGATAAAAATGTTCGCATATATTTTAAACAATATTTTTTTCTATTCATCAATTTTATGCATAACATAAATATGTTGTAACTATCCTTTTGAACTATCTATGAATTTCAATTACATATGTACGTATATTTATATACTTTAACATGCATATACATACATACATATGGTATATATATACAGTGACTCAAAAAAGCTTTAACATGTTAATTTTTTTTAAATATTCGCGGGCGTTTTCAAGTTAGTAGTTTTTTTTATAAAAGCTTGGTTCATGCTATAACCAAACCCATACAAAGCCAAGTTCAAACTTTATGCGAAATTTAGAAAGATTCAGCAAATTTTCATGAAAACTTCCAACTTTTCATACGCAGTTGTAGAACATTTTTAGGTATGTAGATACATATGTTGGTTTTAGTGCATGTTTTGTTATTTTGCGTTTTTTTCATGTAACAAGTGCAATGTATAAAAAGTGACGTTGATTTTTTGACATGTTTTTGAGATGGTCTTGCGCATTTTATTCCAGAAGACATTCATGTTTATGTGGAAAAATGTGCAAACAGCCGTCAGCAACAAAATTTATTTTTTATGGGCTATAAAAATGCATACCCAAGAATTTGCTAAAAAACAGTTTAAAAATTTTGTTAATGTTTTATTCGAATTTTTCTAATTTTTTTTAAGTTTAATACTTAATTTATATGATTTTGGCTATAGCATGAACAATATTTTTATAAAAATATAACAAAAAAATTTTCCTGATAAACATTGTAAATATTAAAAAAAAAAAACTCAACATGTGAACGCTTTGTTGAGTCGCTGTATATATGAATGTATTTATATGAGTGTAAATAAATTCACCATTCACAATATTTCCTAACAAATCGCAATTATCAACTTTATCGAACACTTGCGTCATTAACATCGGGTTTATCTATCGTAACTGCTCACTATATAGTTACATATTTACATATTCGTACATAAAAGTTGCACCTCAAATCGATGGAAAACAATTTTGCTGCTGCTGTGTTAAAAAAAATCAAAGAATGAATAAAAGTAAAAAAAAAATATTTATATATCGTTGTTGTTGTTGTTGTCGTTGTCGCTTATACTCGAACTAAAAAAATCTCAAAAGGCTGAAAAATCACAAAAACAAAAAAGCTCATCTACGAAACTACACCACTTTTAACAGTAATTTTAATCACCATGCAGATATTAATTGATTCATAAATTTTCGAAAGTAATGAAACTAATGAATTTTCAGCGAATCAAAGATGAAAATGCCTACTCTCGATTGCATACAACTCATTAAATGTACTTACTCGCCACTATAGTCATCAACATTTCATCGCCACTCTCGAAATGTGCGCTCTCACTCCTTTCTATGCATCAAAGCCATCGTTATCAGCAAGCTATGTACATACATAAATATATATAGTAACTAACCTCGTTTCGCACCAACAACATTTACTATGTACATCAGTCAAACTCATTGTGCGTGTAACAAATTCGCAATACAAATAATGAACAAACAACAATAAAGTAATTTTTTATTTTTGTTTTTCTATTTCTTTTCCCTCTCTTTCTCTCTCGCTCGCGTGCTCGATTGATGATAAAAGTTTGAGAGACAAAAAAAAAACTTCATGAAATAGATTTACGCATGCCAATGTTACTTCTAAGCAAACGATTTTAGTGCAACAACCAACAACAACAACTACGTATATTGTTATACATCAAAAAAGTAGAAAATCGAAAGTAGTGCGCAAAAAGTCTACCGAAGACAAGAACCACAGTTGTCAGTTTCGTGAAAATCGGCAACAGCGTATGTAACAGCGATTGCAACAGCTAATTGAGAAATTTGACAATAGCACACAGACAAGAAAACTATAAATAAAGTTCCATTAACATTGATTATCGTTAAGCAAGAATTTTCGAAAGCCATACGAAATTTGACGAACTTTGTCACAAGCGGCACAACGCAAAAACGAAGCACAAATCTCAACTGAAAAGAAAGTGCCAGCCAAATAAGTTAAACAAAAAACATCAACATAATTCCGGCCATTAGCAATAGCCACGCCCATTTATATTATCTTAAATTTAATTGAAAGACTGAAAGCTCCAAGAATCCACGGTATAATTACCTACTTAATATCTGCATTAAAAACAAAAGACGCTATATTTGAGGCCGTCGCCATCGCCGCCATCGCCACCACCGCCGCCATTACCATTGCCACTGTTCTAGTCGTCGCCGCAAGTTGCTGCCGCTACACCAGTGCGCTCACAATATGAGCCAACCGAATTCGCCTGCAACCTTACAGCAACAATTGCAATTGCAAGCAAATGCGAACTCGGCCGAAAGTTTAATGAGCAACGCTTTCGATTTGATTGGCGGCGGCAGCGCAGCGCAGCAATTCTTGAATCATATGGATTTGTATGCGCAGCAGCAACGTCAACAGCATCAGCAGCAATTGAACTACCTGCAGCAACAGCAGCAATTGCAACATCAACAACAGCAACAACAGCAGCTTCAACAGTTGCACTCGCAGTCACATATGGCTAAATCACCGTCCTTATCGCCGACAAATTTTGGCAGTGGCGCGAGCAGCAGCAGTAGCAGCCACAGCAACATAACCATCACCACCAATAATTTACATCATACAAACTATAATCATTTTCAACAGCAGCAACAGCAACACCAACAACAACAACACGCAGCAGCAGCTGCCGCCGCCGCGGCAGCGGTGCAACAGCATTTAGGCAATAAGCATTCCATATCGTTGACATCATCGCCAATCACATCACCAACCAAATCGATTCTCACACATGTGGCTGCGGCGGCAAGCAGTGTCGATGCTGGTGCGATAAGCGCCACCAGCACAACAACCACGTCGCCGCCGTCATCGTCGCCGCCAACCATTTTAAATAATTTCAATCCACAACAACACCATTTTAATCTACATCATAATAATAATGATAATCACCAGATGGATTTACAAACACAACAACTACAACAACAGCAACTCCAGCGTGAGTCTGTCGCACAGAATTCTCACAGTGGCATTAGCAACGCCAATAACAATAATAACATCAGCCCAAACAGCGAACGGCTGTCGAATGCTGCCTCTATGGGCACTGGCACACCAAGCGGCGTCGTAAGCCCTAATGGAGGCGGCCAGCAACAGCAGCACAACCATGCGCATGCGCACGCACTCCCACAACATCAGCAGCATCAGCATCATCAGCATGGCAGCGCTACATCACTTTTCAAGCCGCCGGGCTCGGCTTCCTGTTGGTGTTATGGTGAGTTCAGATTATCTCTGTTCTGTTTTATTAAAAAAAAAAGAAAAAACATTTGTCACCACAAAACCACCGAAAACACCATCAGCACCACGATCGCCGCCAGCTCGCTGCTTCGGCAGCATACAGCGGTTGCGTGGCTGTGTGCAAGTGAGTGTATTGCAGCAACATCATCGCATTACTCGTATGTTTCGCAACATTTGCACCCGCATCATCACATCTACGCGCGTTTTTATGCTTTTGCGTTCATACATACATACTTAGGCATAGAGGCAAGGGAAGGCAAAAGCTTACAAATTATAAAATTATCGCATACAATACGTAAAAGAACGTAGGTGAAATACAATAAAGTAAAGCTGATGTTTGTGTATGTATGTAAATATTAAATGCAAAATTGTTAAGAATTCTATATAAGACTTTCCAAAATAGTACGTACTCATTCTTTTTTTCGCCATTTATTTTTCATACACATGTATGTACGAGGAACCAACGGAAATTTTGTCTTGGGCTTTTTCAGCTGCCATGTATCTTTGTTTGTACATTGGGCATATGACTTTTTTCCGATAACTTGGAATTTTTCATATACTTTTTTAAGGAGTTTTCATATTTGTTAATGAAAAAGCATAAATGTTTATGGAAAATTTTAAGCCAACTGACAAAAACAAAAAAGTATTTTGTTTTTCATACAAAATTGTTTTTTTCTCGGAGCTCCATGCGTGAATTTTTTGCACCAAACTTTCACGAAAACGTTATTTTTGTTGGTTTTTCGTCATTTCTCATCCCCTCCTCATAGGTTTATTTAATTTTAGAAAAAAGTCGTATGCCTAATGTACATGCATATGGACGTATAAATATTTTGGTAGTAGAAGATGAAGATGTATATTTTTGACGCAGTTCATGTGCAGCATGTATTTATTTACATACGCTATACCCCCATTAAATTTTAGTATTCTAATGTGTAATTTTGAAGTGGTCCAACATTGTCGTGATTTTGAAAATATGTTTTACGAAGATTGCTTATATGCAAAAAATTCGCAACATCGTAAAGCAGAAAATCGTCAAATATTAACTAGAATTTTCTAGGTACTTCAAACATAAATGGGCTGGCTATAAAACTGCATACCCGAAATTTTCGCAAAAATTTTTAATAAAAAGTTTGAAATTTTGATAAAAGTTTTATGATTTTTTTACAGTGTGAATAACATAAGTACATATATTTAAAAACCAAATTATTATTTTTTTATTAGGTTACAAAATTTGACCGAATTTAAAAAAAAGTGGTGGTAAAATTTGCCTAGCCAAAAATGCATGTGAAAAGGAAGTCGGAAGTTGAATGCCGCCACCCCCTAGGATTGTTCTATACCGAAAACATAGACCTCTATTTATTTATTTTGAAATCAAAAAATATTTAGGGTGTGCTCAATGCGCCCAAAAATTTCCCTGTATTTTATATGGCGAAAAAACAACTTTTCGTAGAAATGGTATAGAATTCTTGGATATCAATATTTTCTGATGTCTGCTTCTCTTCAGCAGATTCCCAAGAATAATACCCAATTGTTTCTTGAACCATTTTTTCATGGTAACTATATTTTATAGGTCCGCCAAACCTACAGAAAATTCAATGGGGACCAATAAAATTTCTTTAGTATTAAAAGTTGGTTAAATAAACAATTGGAATATAATGTTGGAGAACTCCTAAAGAGAACCAGAGTTTTCCGATCGAAAAATATTGGTTTTCAAGAATTCTATACCATTTCTATGAAAATTTGTTTTTTTCCCATATAAAATACATTGAAAACTTTGAGCGCTTTGAGCACTCCCTAAATATTTTTTGACATCAAAATAAAAATAGGGGTATATTTTTTTTCTGTATAGAACAATCGTAGGGGGTGGCGGCATTGAAATTTCGACTACTGTTTTTGACCACTCTAATGAACATACATGCGTGCATCAGGTAGCACGTTTCGTACGCACGCACTCACACGCAATACGGACAAGATTTCGCAGCCATTAGAAGGTGCGTGGTGCTTCGTGTTACTTAACAACCATGCCATTCAAAAGCACGCTGAATGCTGAACATATATTCAATTCCATTCCATTCCACTTTTCTTCTGACCGACTGAAGTAGCTAAGTTCCGAGTAAATGTTGTATTTTAATTTATTTTATTTGAGCGTATTTGTATAAAAGCAGTTTTGACAAGATACAATAGTAAAGCAAAGGCAAAACTATTTCCACTTCTTTTTACATGTCGAACCACGAAATTGCCATTTGAACGAAATTGTTGACAATGGAAAAACTTAAATGGCGATTCTTGGCAATTACCCACTTAGCTTTTTATTAAATGACGTTTATAATACTTTATTTATGCATACTCGTGTAGTCTATAAGGAAATGGTATCTATCCATAAATGCTTATATTTATTGAAAGAAGAAGAAGAAGAAGGAATGTACGGAAGGTACAGGAAACTCTACGATTTAGTCGACAATTTATCTTAACCAAATCGCACGAAGGCTCACATCAAAACGTATGTGTATAGAATAAACATGCGTATTTGTACATATACATATGTACATAAATACAAATGAGTCAACATAATAGCTCATAAAAATGTCAGCCACTCAGATTCAAGTAAGCAAAAATATGCAATAACAGCTATTGAATTTTTATGTTCATATTTGTTTACGTTTTCATACATATGCATGTATGTACATTCAAAACATACATATGTATGTACATATGAACTTCCTATTACATATGTAGGTATGTATGCAATATTTCCCTGCCGTAAAAAGTAAAAGCATTATCCATATTTGAATGCATGCATGTATGTATGTATGTATCTTATTGCGCTACTTCAGCGCTCAGTTCAAGGTTGCGTATACGCCATGTAGTCTTGCAAAAGAAAACGTCTTTAAATGCCAATATTAAGGTTAATTGTTGCCATATTACCAAAATTTGTAGAGAAACTGAGGACGGAATAAATTTTGAAAATGTTATTGACACTGTTATTTCAAGTTGATCGGAATTGGATGAACACGTTTTGAAAATGACTTTTTGTGTTGTTTCCTTTTGATTTATTGATGGGAGCAGTAGTCATGAAAATTATTGAATTACTGAATTATGGCATGGAAATATTTTGACATATCGCACGTTTAAGAATATAGGTTTTTAGAAATTTTTGCATACAATAAATAAGCTTGATAAGGTGTTCAGTCTAGCAGATAACTAGACTATCCGAAAATGGCAATGGGATGCCATGAATCGATCAAACTTTGACTGTGTTTTCTTAAAAAATTAAAAGTTTGAAATAATTATCTTTATTATTAAACTCATTTCTAGGCTAAGTTCGAAGCTAATTATTATATGCAAAGACAATTTCTTTTAAAATCAGTTTTTGTTAGAAAAATAAATAATTTTTGGTAATTCCTAGTTTTTCTGTTAATAACTTTAAAAGTGATCAGCCAGTAGAATAAGTCCGCGTTCACCTATTTATAGTTTTTTTCCATTTTATTTATAATAAACTAAATACTGAAATCATATAAATTATATTTTCAAAAATTCAACATACGGGGGGTTATCGTCGAAAATTCAAAGTTTTTAAGCACAATTTTTAGGTATGCGCGAGTGAGTGTAGAAAATGGCTAAAGAAAAATATATATTAAAAATCGACGCGAATTTTCGTCACTACAAAGTTTAATGGGCTGTAAAACTGCATACTTGATTTTTTTTTCATAAATTATGATTAAGTTTTGTTAGTTTTGTATAAAGTTCGAAACTTTGATTTATAACTTTGGTTATAGCATAAACAATATCTTTATAAAAAAATAACAAAGCGATTTAACTTGAAAAACATCGCGAATATGTAAAAAAGATTAGGTGAAGACGGAATTATTCTACTGGTGGTATAAATACATTTTTTCCGAGTTAAAAGTAAAAATTGAATAATTTCGCAATTTAGGTTAACAATGAGTTAACTAATAGTATTTTTTGAAAACGCAGTGCTTGCCACAATTTATATAGATAAAATAAGCGACACCTTCAACAAAAAAAAAAAAAAAAATACCAAAAATCGACGATAAGCCCAATCTACTTCAAACTTGCACTTTAGCATACCAAATTGAACGGACTAGCTGCGTATTTTTTTGTAATATTACACAGAGTTTGAAAGAGAGATTTATACGATTTTTGTTAAAGAAGAAACTATATTTTCATAAAAAAATAATTAAAATTAAAAAAAATAATAATTTTAAAACTTGTCAGTGATAAATTCGCACACTGTTCTCTGTACTTGAGTTCAAACTTCACTTTTCACACCATCCGGTTTTCAGTGTTTCCAGAAAAAACGCAATTAATTAGAGTTCATTTATTAAAGAAATGTGGACAGCATCTCGCAAATTCACTAGAAAAAAGGAAAGTATAAATAGTATATCAAATAAATAAAAATTTTAGGAAATATTACTTGGAATATCTTCCCTTAATATTTATGTATATGTATGTACATGAAAAGACTTAATTACTTGTACTAATTTGTTGTTTTAATAACAGCCCCCACTTTGTGGTTAAAGGGTGTTCTCTATGGTATTCTCTTCACATCGCTAGCAGACCCTGTATTTTCAAATGGTTGCATTTCGGAATATGTTTACACTCTTTTATGTTTAACTTACTTTAATCTGACAGTGCATATTTGCAATAAATTTTTGCACATTTCAAATGCTATTTTTTCATTACTTCTGTCATAATTGGCTGTTTTGCTGAACGATTACAATTTTTGTACTAAAGTGCGTTTTATTTTTCTTGGCCATATCTCTAGCAGACTTCTTATACGTTTCTAAAATGATCTTTGCTAGTATGCGTCAATTAGCTGAGTATTTTTTTTTCTATCTTTGTTTAATTTTTATCGCTTGCTGATAACAAAAAGGACTATCTTTCAATGTTGGTACTATGTATGTACCTACTACAAAAGATTTTCTACCGATCTTCATGTATCAGTATATTAAACTT